GATAGCTCAAGGTCAGGAGTTCAAAACCAGCCTGAGCAAGAGCGAGACCCCGTCTCTACTATAAATAGAAAGAAATTAATTGGCCAACTGATATATATATAAAAAAAAATTAGCCGGGCATGGTGGCGCATGCCTGTAGTCCCAGCTACCCGGGAGGCTGAGGCAGAAGGATCACTCGAGCCCAGGAATTTGAGGTTGCTGTGAGCTAGGCTGACGCCACGGCACTCACTCTAGCCTGGGCAACAAAGCGAGACTCTGTCTCAAAAATAAAAATAAAATAAAAAAAATAAAAAAAATAATAATAAAAAAAAAGAAGCCAAGATTAAAAAGAGAAATTTGCACCCATGGGTGTCCTGGAGAAGTAATGGCTGCCTGCCATTCATGTGCCGGGGGCAATCTATGCAGCGGAGATGTGCTCCTTTGTTCTAGGGGAATGCTGTATCGTCTCCCTCTCGAGGGTTAAATTTAGCCTTCTAATTCACAACGTACTGAATGAGCCAGGGCTCCATTGGAATCAAGACATCTCTTAGCTAACAGTGTTTTTGAAGGTGGATAAGATGGTGATTGACTTGCGAGGTTGGTGGGAGGCTTAGCAGGCATTCCTAGAATTGCAGGCATATCCAATTTCATTTTACAAAGCAGTTTAAAATAGAAGACCCAGAATTAGTCTGTCCAGGAGCTTTAATACTGCCTGGTCATCCAGTTCTGATGGGAAGGCCAGAGCAGTGGCAACAGGGACATTTAGAGTCCTTAGTATAATGTCTTCTTACTGGTCTTCCACTTGGGCCCTCAAATAGAAACAATATCTCTACTGAAAAATTATCTAAGGGAGTCCTAAGACCCTTAATATTGTTACACTGAGTCATGAAATTCAAATTTTCTTTCTTTTTTTTTCTCTTAGAGACAGGGTCATGCTCTGTCACTCAAGCTGGAGTGCAGTGGCTATTCATAGGTATGGTCACAGCACACCGCAGCCTTGAACTCCTGGACTCAAGTGGTTCTCCCGTCTCACCCTTCTGAGTATCTGGCTCTACAGGTGTGTGCCATCATGTCTGGCTAATTTTTCTTATTTCTTTATTTCAGAGATGGGGTCTTGCTATGTTGCCCAAGCTAGTCTCAAACTCCTGGCCTCAAGTGATCCTCCTTCCTCAGCCTCCTAAGTGGCTGGATTACAGGCATGAGTCACCACACCCAGACAAATTTAATTGATTATTGCAGTTTTAAATGAATTGTCAGGATCTTGGAACATCTCTTATTGATAACATTAAGTTTCTCTACAATCTTCTATTGATAGAAAACCCTATTTGATGGATTTTCTTGGGATTAGCACATGGATTTTAATTGATTTAAAGAAGGTTATTATGTTACTTCTGTGGACACAAACATAAAAATCCCCAAATAACCAAGTGAGTCAAAGCCAATTGCCTATGCTTTTTGCAATTCAAATTTTGAACCTCTAAGTTTTTTTTACATCTTAGCATGAATAAAAGTAAGATCATTTCTCATTGTCTTCTATATGTGTTCTCTCTTTGAAGTAAATACTCTCAATGAAAGAAAATACATATTTGCGACATGCATGCCCTGGAGTTCAAGATTGTCTGGGCATGTGTAGAAGACTTGTGAGTCCACTGGGTACTAAGTGGGTGTTTAAATAAAGATTATTTACATGAGTAAATAACCCCTTCTGAAAAAAATGATCCTCATGGATGAGAGAACAAAAGGAGGGACAAATACTCAAAGTTGGTACAAGTCTGGGAACTGGTTTAAGAGAGAAGGGGTTATTTTAACTGTAGCTGATAGTTGTCATTTCAGATCAGCCCTATCGAAGCATTTTTGAATCCTAAGGAAAGAAGTTATAATAAAAAAAAAAGAATGAGAAAGAGTGATTTCATAAAAATATCTATGAGATTTGGGCACATGTACCGCCAGGAAACTGGTAGTTTCAGAGAGCAACTTCCTTAGCCAACAGAACCCTCAAAATGGCATGAATAGTTGTTGGGCACTGGCGGCGTTGGGACATAAGCAGGTACTAGACTTTAGCAGGAATACCATTGCCTCTGGGAGTGAGCCCACCATGGGCCTGGCTTAGCCTTGTCGTCCACTATCTTGGGAACTGTTGTCAAGGTCTGTGACTTCAGCAGTTTCCATGGTTCGAATGTCCTCGCCAAAACTCAGGTTGAAATTTAATTGCCACTGTAACAGTATTAAGAGGTGGAGCTTTTGTGAGGTGACTCTGCCATGAGAGTTTCACCCTCATGAACAAATTAATGCCATTGTTTTGGGAGTGGGTTAGTTATTACAGGAGTTCAACCCCCTTTTTCTCTGTGTCTCTTGCACTCAATTTCACCCTCTGCTCCTCTGTCATGCAGTAGTGCAGCAAGAAGGCCCTTACCAGATGCCAGTGAAGTGAGTGCCTTCCAATGAGCCCAAAACTTCTATTTTTGTAAAATACCGAGTTTGTAGTATTCTATTATAGCAGCAGGACACAAACTAAGACAGTGGGCATAGGCAGGAGTGATGGCAGCTTCCCTGGGCATTGGTGGTTTGGGCTCTGGGATGGTTAATTTTATTTGTTGACTTGACTGAGTCATGGGATGCCCAGAGAGCTGTCTAAATATTATTTCTGAGTGTGTCTGTGAGGGTGTGTCCAGGGGAGAGTAGCATTTGAATTGGTGGACTGAGGAAAGCAGATGGTCCTCCCCAATGAAAGTAGACATCATCCCATCCCAGGGAGGGCCTAAGTAGAACAGAAAGCTGGAGGAAGGTTGCATGAACTCTGCCTGGCAGCTTGAACTGAGATACTGATCTTCTTCTGCCCTTGCACTCCTGATTCTTGGGCCATCAAGCTACACCTTTGGCTTACATGGGTCTCTTGGCTTATAGACAGCAGATCATGAGATTTCTTAGACCTCATGATTATAGGAGGCAATATATTATAAATCTCTTCATCCATCTATCAATAAATAGATATATTCACAGATATGTATTTCTAGGTCGGTTCTATTTCTTTGGAGAGCCCTGAACAACACGGATTTCATCTGGACTCATTGACATAAATGGCCACTGTTGGCGTAGAGAGTTGTAGGAGCTGGCCCACGACAGGAGGCACCGTGGAACACCCGTGAGGCACTCCTGCAGAGATACAGGAGAATTAGGAAAGGATGCAAGGGAATGTGGAGTTCCTATAGAATTGGGGTGGAGCCGGTGTTGTAGTTTTCTGCCTTTAATTGTGACTTTCTTTTTATCCCAGATGAGAACAGCCTGAAAATGAGATTTGGCCAGTTTGGGCCAGATATTCAGCTTAAATTTTGATGTTTTGAGGTTTTAGGTATCTGGAGGGAATCAACGAATAATTGAGAGGGACTTATAAAGCATTCCTTTCCTTTCTGTTCTTTTGATCTTTCTTTTATTCACCTTAAAAATGTTCAAAATCTCCCTAATTTTGAGATTTTCAACTTAATTTTATATTAAAAGAGGCTTTTATAAAAGTAAATATTTCGTTGACATAGTTTTTACAAATGTAAAAAGAGCATAAATGGGGGTGACTTGTATTGAGGCCCTACAAGCCAGAGTCAACTATTATAGATAGGTCCTTCAAAAATACATGACGGCTGTTCGTCTGGAAATTGAGCATCATTACTTTCCATTCTGTAATTACCCCTCAGTGGCTCAGCTCCATGTTGATGGTTAGAATCAAACATCACCTCTGAGTTTGGCAAACACCTGCCCAATTTGGTTTAGGGCTAAAGCCTGTTCTGGCAAAGACAACAGATCTGCTCATTCCAGAAGAGACGGTTTGGGTTGAGTCAGCGCTCGTCTGCCAGGGCAGCGGGGCTCCTCCCCTGTGAGCTGGCCCGGGGGCTGCAGGCAAGATCTAAAGACTCAGGAGCCTGGGTGCCAAAGGGTCAGATGTTGGGGTCTCAGGAGAGCAAAACCCAATCTTGCAATAATTGTATAGTCTTTAAGAATTTGCATCGCATCCTCTGGAAATATTTACATATGGTAAAAGTCAGGGATAGCCTGGTTCCTCATAAAACTCCTTTGTCCACACATCATATTTAATGGTAATAGTGATAGTAATTTATTATTACTGCTAGAAATATTTTGAATAATATTGTATTAAACCAGTCATTACATAGCCATTGTGAATCCATCAGCTTTTTGCTGATTTGATGGTCTAATAAACTTCTATATGTCTAGCATTGAGTAATGGCAGATAAAAATGGAACAAGAAATGACATTCCCTGACTTTGAGAAGACAAGCTATGCTTTACATAGTAACTAGAAAGTAATGCAAGGGTAAATTGAGCGTTAAAGGTTCCAAAAGTTAAAGACAATTCTGAAAAAAAAATAGTTGTAGAGGTGGGGAAGAGTCAGGGAAGGGAACCCGATTGCTCTGCACATTATGAGAAAAGTGTTCACTCCGTGGGCAGAGAAGAGAGGATTTAGCAAAGCTCTGCATGTAGAAGAAAGCATCTTGTGTGGACTGACAGTGAAGGAAGAGGCAGGGGTGCTCGGGCAATGGTTGGAGTGGTAGGAGGAAGGCTAAGTCATGAGAAGACCAGCTTGTTACAGTTATTGGCAGGACACGTTGAATAGATGGGATGGATCCATTTGACAAAGGCTCTTAAATGTCTGGCCAGGGCCTTTAGGCTATCATTCATCATTCATTTGTTCATTTAATTATCGAATGAGAATGTGTTAGTCACTAGACTAGGCATTAAGGATGAACAAGACCATTCCTTGCCCTAAGGAATTCCCATCAGGGAAGAGAGGCACATAAACAGTCTATTACAATGTAATAATGGCTCTAAAAGAGGTTTCTAGAAACTAGCCTGGTAACAAAGATTCATCTAATTTAAGCAGAAGGATTCATTTTGCCTGGAATGGGGGGGTGGGGCAGGGCTGAAAAATCTTACAGAAAATACGTGTTCTTAAGCACGTGGAACTGATGAGACAGACTTGTAAAAGCTATTGTGGGAAAACCCAGGCACCATGAGAACAGAGTGAATGCTGTAACGTAAGCTGCAGTAGGTGCCAATGAACACGAGGACAGCAGAAATACTTTAAGATGCAACAAGGCTTAGGTGTGCGGTGGACCTCGGTCTGGTCTGCTGGGAAAAGGCAGTGACCGTAGAACAGCTTGGCACTTACAATTAGAAACTGCTGACACTGTAAGTAGAGACGAGTCCCTGGCACCATTGCAAATAGCAACACGCTTTGTGGGAAAGGACTGCTGGACTCTCACCCACGTTCCCAGTCACAGAGACAGCATTCTCGCTCATTTTCCTTGTGAGTTCTCCCTTATCTCCAGAATTTTTTGTGCCTGCGGATCTCTGAGTATTTTTCCCTCCTTACCCTCGACCCACTGAATGAATGCCCTTGTTCTCCTGGAGAAATCTTCCTTCAAGTGTCACTTTTCTAATACCCCAAGGAAGTTCTCACTCCTTTAGGTAAGTATTTCTACTTTATGAATAGCTTTACTTTACCACTTGTATCTTGTTATATTTAGTCATTTACATGTGGATCTTTCATCCAAGATTATTTATTCTTCAAGGACAGGGACTATGTCGTATTAACAGCCAATGCAGGGATGAGCTTAGCCTTGGCTCTGAATCCCTGGTCTGCCACTTCCTTGCTCTGTGACCTTAAGCATCATGATTAATCTCTCTTTACTCATGTTCTTCATTTATAAAATAGGGCAAGTAATATTTACCGAATAAGGTTTTACTAATTAAAAACTAATTAAGGTAATGTATGTGAAGCACCTGTCATAGCGAGTGGTTCACAGAAATTCGATAAATATTCATTCTTTTCTTCATTTTTTGCTTTTTTATTTGCACTCAATGCTCAGCACAGCGCCTGATGTATAGTAGAAACTCAATAAACTTTGGTTCAACTTACAAACGTTCTAAGCTGTATAGAGGTACAGTAACTCACTTAATACTCTTCATAACAGCAACATTGCTCGATAGGGTTGGCGAGATAGGAGCCCAGGACAGGGTGGTTGGTGGCGTGGGAGGTGGCTCAGCACCGAGGGCAACGGCCATGTCTTATACCTCCTAGCGTAACAACAGGTAAGAAAATAAGCAGATTCTGGCAGGACTCAGGTGAATATGTTACTTAGTCAATTCATAGACTAATTTAAATGGGTCCATACTAATGAGGAGTTCCCGTGACAAAATTGGCTCTTTTCTCTTATGACAAATAATTACTCACAGGAATTTAAGAGCAAGTTAGAAGTCCTTGGAGTTGCATACTAGGAATGGATTTGTTCAAGCCATTGGCGATCCTACTCTGGAACTCTGTGTATGGGCCAGAGAATCACCAGCAAGTTTTCTAGAAGATTCAATACCACATGGAAACTATGTAGGATAACTATAAAATAGTGGTTAATATAAGAACATGGACTTCAGAGTCACATCTGCCTAGATTCAAAGCTTGCCTCGGCCATTTATTTGCTGGTCTTCTCTGAGGAAGAACTTAACTTCTTGTGTCTTGGTTTCCTCATAAATCAAATGAGGATATAATGGTATTTTCTCG